CTCTGAAAGGAAGTCTTCTTTAGAGCGCTGGGGCCGGCTCTGGGGCCAGAACCAAAGGCCCCTTCCCAGGCTCCCACGGACAGCAGCAAGGCCGCAGGCGAGCCCTGGGCGGCCGAGCCGGCTCCACAGCCAGCCTGCGCCCAGGCCTTTGCTCAGTGACTTTCCGCTGTCACCACAAACGGGATGAAGGACAAGGAAGGTCCCCTCCCCGTACCCCACTCAGCTGGTGCAGGGCCAGACACCTCTGAGTGGGTCTGTACCTTCTGCTACATCACTGAACATCTGTGACACTGCCTTCAAAACGCTGACTTGATTAGTAGACTCTCTCGGCAGGTGGGGAGGAAGTTTAAGACTACAGAAGGATTGAGCAGACAGCACAAAGAATTCTCGTATGCCCCCCATTTCTCACGGCACACTCAGTGTTCCCATTGTTAATGTCATCTATTAGTATGGTACACTTTACGATTAATAAGCCAATACTGACACATTAACTAAACTCAGTTCGTTCCCATTTCCTTAGTTGTTCTGTCCCAGGATCTCGTCTGCAAAACCCTAACACTACATTTGGCCGTCGCACTTTCCTGGGCTCTGCTGGGCGACGCGCCTCTCAGCCGTGACAGCGGCACACGTGCTGGTCGGGTGTTTCACGCCTGTCTTTTCACTTGGGTCTGCCTGAGGGTTTTCCCGTGGCTACACACCGATTCCAAGCTCGGGAGGAAGACCACAGAGATGAAGTGCCGTTTGGTCGCGCTCCCACGAGGCGCACACCATCAGCTGGCCTAAGCCCTGAGGACGCTGGACTGGGTCACCAGGCTGATGTGGTGGCTGCCAGCACCCCCAACCCCGCTGCACTGCTGCACTCTTCGGCTGAAGGGGTCCTCAGTGCAGCCCCACACATGAGGAGCTGGGGTAGGTATACCCCCCCAAAACTCTTTCACCTACTTTTTTAATACAATCCCCTCACAGAGCCTAGACGGATAGAAAAACGGAGACTTACAGAACTTGTTTCAGGTTACACAGATAAAAGTGAGAGCTTGAGGCAGGAACCAACCCAGAGCCAGCTGGGCCCTGGCCCGGCGCTCTCTTCACTGCCACATGCTCATTGTCAAGGGCACAGGTCATAAACGAAGAGGTCAACTGCAAGCTCCACTTCATTCAACCACCAGCCTTTGCCCGCGCACTGCTACTTTATTCTATATTCTACATTATGTATTATGTACTCTATGCCATGTTTCTATGGCAGTGATTAACCTTCCGTATTAACTCAATCAACTCCGGCCCAAATCCACATTATTTTTCTCAGTTTTCCTTCTCCCAGGCAGGGGTGTCCAACCTTCCGGTGTCTCTGTGCCACACTGGAGGAAGAGCTGTCTTGGGCCACACATTAAGTGCGCTGTGACTTATACTCACAAAGAAATCTCAACGTTTTACCCGAGTTTACGGTTCCGTGTGGGGCACACTCACAAGCATCCCGGGCTGCATTCGGCCTGCAGGCTGCAGGTTGGACACCCTCGTAAGAGACACAAAATTTAATTTTTAAACTGGGTCCTAGAAACACCCGTCTTCCCACTGCTCTGAAGCTGCCCCATGGAAACAGCCTGAACCGCCTTCACCAGTGACGTGGTGTGATTAACGAGAAAAGCCCTGGACACAAGTTTTGTTTTTAAAAGGAGAAAAATGAAAGATCCTATAATACAGTGGAGTCGGAGCTCAGGCCCCGGAGTCAGAAAGTCCTGAGATAAAACTTTAGTTCTATCACCACCACTGGACCTTGGAAAAGTCACCGGACCTTCTTAAGCATCATTATTTATTTGTGACCCTACAGACCAATCCTAAGGCTTCTTGGACACAAAAGCAGCATCTGTGCAGTTTCCCGGGCAACATCTACAAAATAGAAGCGCTCTGATTTCTAGACTAGCCTACCAACAAAAGCTTAAAGATGAACTTGGAGCTTACCAAATTCATATTATCTTGTACCTGTCATAACAGAATGACAGGGGATCTGGTTAAATAAATAAAAGCAGTTACTTTAAGCTGTGCACTGCTTCAAATAAAATACAGGTTTTCCTGAAAATACACTGTATTTTGTATAACTCCTCTACGAAACCAGTGTCAGAAGAAAATCTCCCCCAAATAGTCAAGGGTGCACTAAACTCACTGCGTTCTGGTACCAACGCAGCTGACAAAGGTGCTGCTCATGGTCCCCGTCCAAGGCCCAGTCCCCCTTCCTCCACAATCAGAAGGGGCGCTCCCAGGAAAGCAGCCCCACTGTACCCAGGTAATTAATCTATGGTAACACTCCAGACAAAAGCAAGAGAGGAGCAGAGAGGAAATTTCAGCTGGAAAACATTTTGACGTAACTAATCCAGAGGACAAGCTACACTTAAGCATCTGTCAAGTGCTCCCGTCTGCACACAACACACACAGATGCCAAAGGGTGTGAAGAGCCCGCACAACCGGCCAGGGTGACATCTCAACCCCCAGGAGAGCGCGCATCTTTCAATCACTGTTTATTTACACAAGACGCACAGATGCAGGGAGAGATACTTCCATAAACTCAGGCAAAAATGTTTCGAGTCTTTCAATTCTTTATCTTGGGAATTACAGGTAATTAGTTAACCCTGAGAAAGTGGTAGGGAGCCCCTCCTATCAACATATCTCCATTACGTGAGTTTCCCAACTAGCTAAAAAATCCGTGTCTGACTACTTTTTTTTGATTACTTTCAAAACATGTAAGACTTGTTATTTCAAAAAGCTCAAACTGAATTATGACACTGAAACCCTTCGTACACAAACGTGCATGTCGGAACCAAAACACGCCTTCTGTCTCGGGGGAAGGGAAGAGACAGGACACAACACGAGTCCCCAGCTTTCCGACTTCCCCTGCGCAGGCTGCTTCACCGCCTCTCGCACCACCAGACCAAGACAAGTGCACCAAAGAAAGTGCAAGGAACAGCAAATTGGTTTGACATGTTTCCTCCAGCGTTTAGTTTTGGAAAATTTTAAACATATAAGAAAGTTGAAAAAATGGTAAAATAAACACCCACTGTTCATTAAATATATCCTCCACCCAAATTCAAAAATAATACTGTGAAACTACAATAAATTTTATGCTGAATAAAAATCCATACTAAATAAAAGTTAGTAAGTAGGCTGTGATAATCTCTAAGTGAGTATAAACGAAAGTTATTAAGAAAATTTCTTAACATCACTTAGCTTTTGTGTGTGTGACCTACAGGCATTAAAAACTTGGTTACGAAGTGGACCACGGCCTGGCCTCCGCAGGGTGGAGTCGTCCTGACCCCCCAAGGTGCCGTGTTTGATGCCTGGTCAGGGCACGCACAGCAGTCAACTGATGAACAGAGAAGCGGAACAAGACAGCGATTTTCTCTCTCCCCCTCTCTCAAATCAGTCAACAAGAAAATTTGAGGGAAAAAAGCTGAACACATGGTTGGTTATTTTACAGGAATAGTGTCTAACATAAACCTTTCAAAGAACCTTCTGAATCATTTTCTCACATTGAAAAAAGACAAAAGTGAAGCTATGTCAAGTTATGAAAAGTTTCATATTCAAAAATGGTAATAAACATATTTTTAAGTAATCCTAGGAGAGGCCAGAGGACAGTCCTGGTCGCATCTGGAACTGTTATCTTGGGTCACGAAAAGTGAGGTGCTGGTTCATAAGAAAATACATGTAATCTTCCTTGAGATTCAAGAGCAAATAACTATGAGCTACGTCCTCATCAAACAGTTCAAATTTCTGGTAGACAGGAAAAGTCGAAGTTTGTCATTCACAGCTGAGGATTACAGGACACGGCAGGAACAAGAAAGCAGAGACGGCAGCGGTGAAGAGTAGCAAATGGTGGTAAGACGGCCCTGTTCGCTCCCACGAGGTTAAGAGGATGGGAACCAGAGGATAATCACTCAGTTCTGGAAACTTCGAAACCGCCCGTCCCTCCAACATTAAGCACTGTGGCTGGGATTCAGCTTAGCTGACCCTCACGGAAGTTCTCCCCCTCGGTCTGCACGGTCCAGGGTCCTCCACGGAGGAGGAGACAATGGAACAGCAAACAGCAGGGGCTGTGAAGATACTGATGCTTAAAAAGTAAACGGTTACACAGCGCTGCCTATCACTGCGCAAGAACTGGGAAGAGGTAGAAAACCCACACTCTGCTCCGAAATGAGTCTTGTGTTTTCAAGCTGCCAAAGATTTCGGTGTTGTAAGATAGAAAATGTACTTTGTTATTTAAAAAAGTCTCTGCTGATATCAAAACATTATTACCACTTACTTCTTCTCAAATGAATTTGGGATTTAGTATTTTAAGTACATATATTTATGGTAAAGTCCACAGAAGTGGACTTAAGGTTTTACGTATGTATACTTGGTAACTGGCCACATAACTGTGTTCCATTAACACTCATAAAAAGTTAATATATGTTCCTAAGGTAGATGTATAACAACATATCAAACAGGATCATCTACCCCAAGTAACGGCAGGCGGTGAACAAACAAAATGTGCGCCCGCGCTGCAGAGTATAAACAGTGTCCGTGTGCATTCTCTGAGCAAAAGTTTTCTTTAAGAAATTTAGCTTTACTATATAAAGTGGTAAAGCTGATTTCCCCGAAAATCCTATGTATATAAATATTAAATTCACAATCCTATTTACTTATAATTAAGTCTTGATCAATTACACAATTTAAAAGTGATCAGTACAATTTAAAAATGTAAAAACTGAAAAAGACTAGTTCCTATTACACAAGAGTGTAAGAAACACTGAGAATCAAGAAACTGGAGGGACCCTCGAATGTCCGCCCGATGCGCTGACCGCTCACACTAACCGCTCGTCCCTCGTCTCCTTCTATTATTACACTGCTGTCAACCTCAGATGAAAATCAGCGACTCCTAAGTCACCTTCTCATGTTTTCTGAAGGGACGGAATCACGGGGTGGATGCTGGGGGCCAGGAAAAGACAGCAGCAATTTAGAACTTTACAGCACACCTTTATGGCCAGGAAATTCAGTCCACTTTCAGTGGCCAGTGCCTTGGCGATCATTGTTTTGGAGCATCCCGGAGGCCCGTACAGAAGAACTCCCTTAGGTGGCTGAACACCCATTCGGGTGAAAGACTCCGGGTGCTTCAAGGGCCATTCCACAGCCTGCTTCAGTTTCAGTTTGATGGTTTCCAGTCCTCCTATATCCGACCAGGATACCTGCAAAACAGAACATTTCCTAAATGTAAGTTTGCCAGGACAAACAGAGAACTAAAAAAAATTAAAAAAAGAAATGCAAGAAAGGGAACAGAATCACGTACAAATCAGAAAAATCCTAAAAAGAAATTCCAACTCTATCAAGATTAATTAGGAGCTCATGAAATGTAATCTGCATATTAGAGAAATGCTAAAGACAAACAGAATACTTCTGCTGGCAAGTCTTACACAAACGGCTGTTCCAGTGAGTGAACATGCTGTTGCGTCTGCCTTCTCTCCTGGGCAGCTGTAAACACTAGGTCCCACCTGTCCAAAACGGTCTGAATCCCTGACCCAAGCTCTTGTCTATATATGTAATTTCATATGTTTCTTTTTTAGCAAATACCTGCGAATATACTTCTGTAGGTCTTAATGGAACACACGGTGTTTTCTGTCTTTGGCATATTAATGAAATACCCTCAAAATTTTGTTCCTTTCCCTCAACTATGAAATACTCCCCAAACGAGATACTCTTTACATACCATTTACTTCATCAGTATGCATTAAGGGAGGCATACATAGCGGATGATTAAGACATAGGAACACGGGCTTTGAAGAACTTAACAACCACAGGTAACACACACATGAATGGCCACAGTCCATGGGAAGGGACCCTAACGAAGCACATAACAAAGAAACAGAAAAGGCCTTGGGGGCTCCCAGGAAGAGAGGTTGCTTCCAGCCAGAGCGCAAATCAGAAATCCAACGCTTGCAGCACGGACAAGATCTGGAAATGTGAAAACAGGCAAGTGGTCGGGTAGAGGCCAAGGTACGAGAAAAGAGAAGGAAGTGGGACAAGGATAAGAGAAAAGCAAACGGGGAAAGAAGTGAAATTAGAACCGTGAGTTGAGGCCACACAGAAGCAGAGGGCCCTGAAGACCAGATGAAGGAGTCGAGTATCTCTCTGCTCCCTTAAAACTCCGGGAAGGGCTCGATCTGGAAAGCGACGTGGTCTGACCTGCGCGTCAGGAAGACTGACAAAACTCAGAGGGGAGAGGGGGCGGGGAGACCAGCTGTGAACTGGTCACGGACATCCTTGCAAACCAGAGACGAGCCTGAGTGAGGGGCAGCACGTGCAGACGATGAAGACACTGCGGGTCTACAGTGCAGGGATCGGGGGCGGAGTGAGAAAGATGGAGAGTTCACAGGTACAGGTGTGGAGAGGAACTGACAACAGAATGTGGACCACAGAAAAAGAATCTTCTGGAGGGAAATAAACATACTAGATTTTCTAAATTAAAATGCAGGACAGCATATTCAAAGATGAAAACAGTCTGAGTAGGTGAAAGGTCAGCACCACAAACAGAACCCACGAGACCACTACATACGAAGGACAGAACCCACGAGACCCACCGGAACTGCGGGCCAGGAGCAGAGAGCTGCGGGTACTGGGCACCGCCCACAAGTAACAGGCAAGAGGAAATGAAGAGGAAGAGAAGTCAGAAAACAACCCACAAATGCGAAAGTGAGGGGGGGATGCTTGTTTCTTCATTAATATCAGGAAAAGACGACCTTCCCAGCTGAAGCCGCATGGTCTTTCAGCCATTTTTCTTTTGTCTACAGAACCAGGAGAATGCTGTACTCCCTAATCCTGAGCTCAATTAATTATTTTCTAAATTGCTCTCCGGGGGTTTAGTTTAAGAAGATCACTAGATTAAAATGAGTGGACATTCTTATTCTTCGGTCCCTTGATGCACGATGCCAATCTGCTATCTCAACCACTTCATCCACTTTAACGAGAACGAGTCGGACTTGGAGACGTGGAGAAAAGGAACAAGGAACCAAGGGCAGCAGCCAGGGCTCAGACTCTGGGCAACTGTGTAATTGAGAGACGCCTTGAAAGAAAAAAGAAACATGTCTGGAAATCAAGGAATCCACCTAATTATCAATTCACTTCCAATTACCTTCTACGTGCTGGACTTGTCTTAGGGGCTATAAAGGTGCAAGGATGAGTGAGATCATACGCTCAACATTTGTCATCTTGACATCCTAAAAGATATGGTCTTTGTCTAAAGACATAAAATATGTCTTCACACAAATTACTCCAAAAACTACTGAAAGTATATAAAATACTTTATAGTCCCCAAACACGTGAGATGGTTCAGACAGAGACCCGGAAGTTGTTGCACATACGTAAGACATGCCAAGGCTGTGTAAACTGAAAATAGTAGCAATCCCCACCGCATATGATCGTAAAGATAACTGATATATAATAAGCAAAGCCTATAGAAAATTATAAAGGAGCCCTGGCTGGTGTAGCTCAGTGGATTGAGGGCAGGCCTGTGAACCAAAGGATCACGGTTCCATTCCCAGTCAGGGCACATGCTTGGGTCGCAGGCCAGTTCCCAGCAGGGGACCCACGAGAAGCAACCACACATTGATATTTCTCTCCCTCTCTCCTTCCCTTCCCCTCTAAAGATAAAGAAATAAAATCTTTAAAAAATTTATATAGGACAATATAGAATTACCTTTCCTCCACACCTAAAAGCCAGCATTGTTAACATTTTGGTGGGGAACTTTCTAACCTTTCAAAATGACGTGCGTGTGCATGAATCTCTGTGAGCTTTTTCACGGAAATCATACTGTAGTCTCAATTTTATATACCTACAATTCCCAGGATTACCGTAAGCATTAAACAGTATGCTATCTATTAAGTCAGCTACACTTTGCCAGGCACACAGTACTTATTTAATAAACACAAGATATTATTTTACTTAAAGGTCTGAAACATGATAATAAAGTTATATTCTGAAGAATTAGTGACAAAAGATAAAAGATCAAACCCTCATACTTGTGGTTCACAAGCAATATCTAATTACCATCTTTTTTTTGTTCTTTTTGCATTTTGTCTGGACACTACATTTCTTAAACTAAAGGCAAGTAAGTTTTAAACTTTAATTCAGCACCAGAGTGCCAATAAATGAGGCCTATAGCTAAGACATGAATTCAAAATGAATGTAAATCAGCTTAAGGAGTTCACGGCTGCATAGAAGAGTCTCCAAGCCCAGGGTGCCATGGAAAAGTCAGGCTGGCAGAGAACACACCAGCACGAAACCATAAAACCCCGTAACTTGAGCGGGAATTCGGAAACTGGTCGGTCACTGACCCACCTCCAGTCCTTCTCTCATCTTTTAGCAAATATTCCTACACTCTTCTACATTTTTTAAAATTTCTACTCTCCCTTTCTACTCAAGTTCCAACACTCTATCATAACTGCCACATTATTCCTACATTCTAACCCAAATCACTGCCCTAATGAAAACAGTGAACAGCTGCTCGCAGATGGCTTTGTAACTCCTTGAATTAGTAGTAAAGTCAGAAGAGAAGGAACAGCTGGCAAACACCACAGAGTAGGGGGGCAAATTTCCCAAGGGAGATGTTCCCACCCCCGACCCCCACCCTGCTAAACATTTCCCACTACTTTGTGAACAAAAATCTAACAATATACACCCAAAACCTCAAACCACACACCCACTGATGATCGGGCTACGAAAGAAAAAACAGAAAAACCCTTGTACGAACCAGATCCAACGGGAGCAAATGGAACCCACAGCGTGGACTGCAGACGCGGGGAGTCACTGTGAGAAGGTCCACAGCTCCAGAGGGGCCACCAGTGTCTCCGCACACCTGTGCGCCCCCCTGCTTGCTGGGTGCCAAGATTTGTCATAAGCATATACCGAATACAATGACAAAGGTGAAGCAAGTCTCAGAGAACTGTGCGAGTACACTGCCGGGGACGAAAATTCTTTTGAAAGTATTATTTTTATAGAAAATATTACAACAAAAATACTGTTCATTTTGTCCCTTCAGGCTAACGAGTCCCACCATTAAGGACTGCCAACTGCCAGGCGGCAGTGAGCGGGCTGGTGCCTGCTCCGAGTTCTCTGCTGGGCCATACACTAGCGCATTCAGTTTGATTTGAAATCATCAACATACCAAACTACTACGGAAGCTACATAATGCAGAAGGAAAGGAGGTGAGGAAACTCCACCTCCAAGACCCGAAAGAAAAACGATACATTCCTAGATGCCTGCTGCTTTAATGGCGGAAAAGCCACGTTAGCAAGCAGCCGTGTTCAAAACGGATTCTCAGATCTAAGTGAAAATAAGTGAGAGCCTTTAGCTTTATATTTTGAAATGACAAGTACCCTCCCCCACGCCCATTGATTAAAAACAAAAATTTCACTCAAAGTACAAACCCCACGGACATGTGGATTCTGAAAAGTCAAGACGGGGGGGGGGGGGGGGGAGCGGGGGGGGCGGGGGGCGTGAGGCCAGGGAAACCTGGAGCAGCGCCCCACACGCAGGGTGGCAGGGGCCCCGCGTCCTGTGCTGTTTGTCCTTGTCTCTTCCCTCTGGACTCCGCTGTCCCCTCTGCCTGTTTCACCCCCACTGCATATAAACAAGCTCGGGTTCAAAATACCTAACAACTTCATGGGTAAGAGAGCGCAGGGGGCTAAAAAAGCAGGTGAGAGCAAATGTAAAACTGCAACCACAACTCTGCCACTAACTGCAAACTGCCACTGACCTGGGTGACCCTGCTCTTTGGTAACTCATGATCGGCTCAATGAAACACTGTAAAAACTACGGGAGACAGATGCCTCTGGAAGTCCTAGTTTGTACAGGAAAACATTAAGATACAGGAATTATTCAAGTAACAAAAATTAACATATCCCCCAAAACACAGAAAACATGATCAACTTCAAGACAAATATGCCGTGGTCGGTTTGCTCATCACACTGACCCTGAACTCCACCCCTAAACTGTCATTACAGCCCCAGCACACGGGAACAGCTCACTCTGCACTGCCCTCGGCGAGCCCGTGGTGCGTGAGGTCGAACCTTTCTACCCAACACGTCACTACCTGAGTGAGCTCCCCTTACAAACACTTACACCTTAGTCCAACCTCAAAATGGTAACCCTTCCAAAAACAGCGTTTAAAAATGACTTTTGACAGATAAACAA